ATATTTGTACAACGCATAAAAATGGTAGAAGAAATCATGCATCCTTTGTTACGTGAACACAGGATGATAGTAGCTTCTTGCTCATTGAAGTTTTTTCAGTTACTGATCATATCAACGTTGTTGTCGTGGAGGAAGGGGGCTTCGGAGACGTAGATTGATCACCCCTACCTTGGACCTCAGCTCTTGCCTCAACTAATTTTGCTTCGTCTTTTCTTCTCCTTTCCTTTCCCTTCTCTTCTTCATCCCCTTCTTCTGTCCATTTATTCTAAACGTTTACTCATTTTACCCTTATTGACACAATACTTTACCGTAAGTGCTATATGACCTTGGATGTCTAGCACATTAATTTGTTTTAACCATTAACCAATAACCATTACGCGTTTTCTCTCATTCGGCGAGTAGAACGTGGCAGGTTTTTCATTTTCATCGTGAATCTGAAGATTTTCATTTACCTTTTACCTTATTTTCAACTGTGCTTATGACGCTACTAATCCAGTGTGCTTCTACATTTTTTTTACTATAGTACACCCAATTCCACCAGTTTGAAGAGCAACGAAGCGAATTTACACAGCAAGTAAAAGGAGAGTGAATATTGCTTCACGTCCACTGTAGGTCCTATTTTTTTTATATCGATTTACTATGGAAATCCCTCCTATGCTATCTAAACAAAACCCCTATAGACATTGGCTTCTATGGCCTACGTATAGATTTTTTCAAAGAAAAGTATCATTGAGTTCCTGAATTAGCTCAAGCTGTTAGGGTTGTTTTTGAAACAAGAGATCAAATCGTTCATAACACAATATTAATCAAACACAAATACAAAGAAATCAAATTAGTGTCTTGTGATTTTAAATGTTCTCCAAAGGAAATTGTGTCAAAATTACACCCATTATAGAACTATCTCCATTCATAAGCACAATAGGGGTTTACTCATACCATAATCGGAATCATTTTCTTATCACTGTTATTGTTGTTCTATTATTTTCATAGATCCCGACGTTCTGGTGTGTGTGTGTGGGGGGGGGGGGGTGGACATTATATTGGTTAACATTATATTAATAACGACTCGGTGATTAACTACAGCAATATTGTCGTGTGTGAGATTTTATAAGAGTCCATATACGTAGATGAATGAAATGAATGATATATATACATATATATATATATATATATATATATATATATATATATATATATATATATATGAAAAAGCTCATCAATATTTCTGTGATACCCAAATACTATATTTGTGGTTCAGAACAATGTCGGATAGCTACACAAGAGTTATGTTATATTTATAGTGTCAGTCTCATTCTCTCTCTCTCTCTCTCTCTCTCTCTCTCTATATATATATATATATATATATATATATATAGATAGATAGATAGATAGATAGATAGATAGATAGATAGATAGATAAATAGATAGATAGACAGATATATCACTTATTGCCGTTTTTTCCTTTCATTTTTATGCTCTCTCTCTCTCTCTCTCTCTCTCTCTCTCTCTCTCTCTCTCTCTCTCTCTCTCTCTCTCTCTCTCTCTCTCTCTCTCTCTCTCTCTCTCTCTATCTCTCTCTCTCTCTATCTATCTATCTTTCTCTCTCTCTCTCTATCTATCTTTCTATCTATCTATCTCTCTGTCTATGCGTGTGTATATGTGTGTATCTGCATTGACGCATTGATTCCCATTGACTTTATCAGAGGGGTATAGAGAAAAGGAGAGAGGAAAAATAACTAGAGGGACAAGGAAGGGGAAAGAAAGCAGAAAGAAGATAAATATATAGAGATATAGAAACAGTCAAAGTGTAGAGTGAAGTTTAAACAAACAGTCCGTTACTTAATTAACAATCTCGGACACGAGCACTCAGCATTCACGCTTCATCCCACATGAAAAGTCAGTTTGCAATAAAGATCAAACCCCAACAAGGCCTAATGTACTGTAAAGTTATCACCATAGCCTCGCATTTAAAGGTATACACAGAATTTCGCGCTACTGTGGGGCGAGCCGGGTGTACCAACCATGAATGGGCCATGCCCGAGATAACGGCCTCTCTACAGTACCACGAAACCTTCTGTACTAAAATGAGGACGGAAACGGGTACAAGGAGAAGCACCAGTCCTCATAATGACTCATTCCACCTCATAATATTGAAGGTCTTCACGTGAAGCGCCGGACATGGGCTCGGTCAGAGTGGGAACCGTCCGTTCCTCCATTCGCACGGCATGGCGCAATGTCACACGGCCCCTCGATATCGCATTATTTACTTTGGGTATTAATGGCCGTCAGTGTGCGGCTGTAATGAAACCCCTCTTGGTTGGGATCCTTATAAATCGCTCAGTCTCGGTTCCTTATTGACATTCTGATGATACACCTAAATAAGACCAAAAAACTATTGTTTTAGTCGATACAGTGAGTAACAGCTATTGTCTTAAGGAACAAAATGGAAGTATATATTTAGCTTTCATGATGTAATTGAAACGAAGCGGATATGATGAAAAGTTTTATCATATCATTACCAAGGTGAAGTTAAGAATATTGTAATTCACTAAATGATTATTTAACTTTAGTGATTATTTTACTTTAATGAAAATGTGAGATAGACCCCACCACAAGTGACAGGGATGTTCACCTGCTCGTTCGTTGTCATGATGAGTTTCATTGTTGTATACTGTCATTATGCTGAAGTCCTACTTCCACCCTAGGGCAGCTGGAGGTAGTTATTATATAGTTATGTTGTACTCTTATATAACCCTTTTACTTACGTATATATTGCTGTTACGTTCTCATGCTGTACTCCCAATCTCTCCTATTTGTCTTTTGTACATATTGTTTAAGCTGATATGCTATACTCTTAGATTCACACATGTAGTATTGTGGGTGGACTAATGTATTGCGTGGTGGCATGATGATAAAAATATTAGTTTTTAGACTTATATCGGCTTGATTTCGTAAAACACCGTAACGCTGTTATGCGTTTGTTTTATCAGCATTGCTTCATGCTTGTGAGATAAAGATTGGCAGACAGGTGTGCGCAGGATGTCTTCGGCTGAGATAATCTCCTTCGAGGGGGAGGAGTGGCAAAAGGAGAACGGCGGAGGGGATATTTCCAAATCGCTGACGTCACCGCTCTCCTGAAGTCCTAAAAAATCCTTGTTTGATATTAAATCATATCAGTAGTCTTCATCATAAAAGACGAAATAGAGAACAAGGCCAAGCGTGAGTACGATTGCAGAATATGAGGGCTTGCAGAAGCAGCTTCGCCTACTGGCATGACCCAATATTCGGCTGTCAACTGTGTCGACGAAGAGCTTCCGGTCAACTGATAGCCACGTAGGGACCACTTGTTCGGAACCTTGACAGCGGTAATAATAGATAACATTCCTGTGAAAATAAGGTCGGAAAAGAGCAATACTTAAATTATCAAACTGACGAAGAGGCGAACATTATCAATTTTTAAAGTGACCACAGGGGCAAAACAGTTTTCAACTGGAAGAAAAAGGGGACAGACGCCGAGAGAAAATGATAATCGGAGACGCAAGCCAGAGTTCCGATGGGCGCCCGGGGATAAAGACGAGGCGGAGATACAGCGCAGTGAGCGGAGGCGTTAGGATTCGCCAAAAGGTTCGGAGGGATTACCCAGACCGGACGGGCTGGCGTAACTATCGCGGGGACCTTGGCGGTTTCCATCTCTTGCGCTTTAATACGGAAGAAAAACAGGACTCGTTCAGTTAAACCGTCGCTCTCGGAGAAGAAACACGTTGTAGTCTACGGCTCCTAGAATATTTGTGTTGCCTTCTGTGTCTGTGGTGAGGTCTTGTTGCTATTGTTGTGGACTGGTAAATTAATAATTACGTGTTTGAATTACATTAGTGTAAATCTCGCAAGTGAACATATCGTTACCCATAAATCATCAAACTTTCATCAGTCACATGATAAGTTTCGTAAACAACAATGTAGTGAGGTCAACAAATCTTGAGTGCCGCAAAATTGTGACTTGAAGCGGTTTATAGCAGTTAAACTCCGTAAAGAATTGCATATTCCCATAGCCCTTCACTAGTGCCTTGTTCCCACGCCTCTCCACCCTTCATTACCCTGTGGACTGCCCGCTCACGATTAGCCTCGGTCTCAGTGTAGCCTCTTCTTTCTCCGTCTCTCTCATCTCTCTTTCTCTGCCTCTTTCTCTTTCTCTTTCTGCGTCTCTCTCTCTCTCTTTCTGCGTCTCTCTCTCTCTCTTTCTGTCTCCCTCTCCTTGCTCTCCTCTCTCTTTTTCTCCAATTCTCTCTCTCTTTTCCTCCGTCTCTCTCTCTCTCTCTCTCTCTCTCTCTCTCTCTCTCTCTCTCTCTCTCTCTCTCTCTCTCTCTCTCTCTCTCTCTCTCTCTCTCTTTCTCACTCTCACTCTCACTCTCACTCTCACTCTCACCCTCACTCTCTTCATCGCTCTCTCTTTCTCCGTCTCTCTGACCAACCCCCCTCTCTCTCTATCTCTCTTATTCATCTCTTGTTTTCCTCTCTCTCTCTTCAATATATGTATATATATATATATATATATATATATATATATATATATATATATATATATATATATATATATATACATACACACACACACACACACATACACACACACACACACACACACATATATATATATATATATATATATATATATATATATATATATATATATATATATATATATATATATATATATATATATATATATGTGTGTGTGTATGTGTGTGTGTGTGTGTATGTATATATATATATATATATATATATATATATATATATATATATATATATATATACATATATATATACATATATATATATATATATATATATATATATATTATATATATATATATATATATATACACATATATACCTATATACACACATGTATATATACATACGTGTATACGGCTCTACATATATGGTATACATATATAGAGGAAACCCTTCTTGTAATTTCTAAACAAAACCTCTATAAAAAATTGGCTTTGAAGGTTCGCAAATCTTGTTAGATGACTTTGTTTTCAAAGAAAAGTATCATGAAGTTCCTGAAATAGCTTAAGATGTTAGAATTATACTGAGTTGGAGTTCCTTGGCGCAAGTTTTATTAACAGATCAAAATGTTCATAATGTAATATTTACCTAATTCGGATTCGAAAGATTAGTATCCATTTCCTTATTCATTATGCAATTATTCTCCAAAGAAAGTTATCAAAATTACACCTGTAATGGAACTGCCATTGTCTATATTTACAACACACACACACACGCGCGTGTAGGTGTAAAAGTTTGTGTGTGTGTGTGTGTGTGCGTGTGTGTGTGTGTGTGCGTGTGCGTGTGTGTGTGTGTGTGTGTATGTGTATGTGCGTGTACGTATACCTTCATTTTCATCTCTCAGTTTCTCATTCTCAGTTCCTAGCGTGACAACATTCCTCATCTTTGACCCCTTTAATGTACCCACAGGTTTCCCAACTTCCCGACCTTCAAAAGCTCTCGAGTTACCAAACGGCTTTTCTGTAGCATCCGTAACGCCTCTAGACATTTCCTGTACCGTTTCCGTTTTGGTGATAAATAATGACATATTTTTAGATTGTTATAAGAAATCACTTACAAGTCGTGAAGGCCAAAGTAAATATTCAAATATTCAACGATTCTGAATCTAATTAGTTGAAACAAATCTGGCGGTTAAGGAATCCTAAACTATTGGTGTGGAGTATACAGGATCCAAATCTTTATAAATAGTGAGAATCAGAATATAAAAAAATGATAATAATGTCACAAAACATTGAAAATATTAATGTACTGAACCAAAACCTTTACAGTTTGCGAAAATATGTTGCTTTGATGTGTATTTTTGAAGCAATATATATATTTTTAATTTTATGTAAGAGTGACCATTTATGAAGGACAAAGAAAGTCTAGATATTTTCCGGTCAGTTGAGCAGTTTTATTATACTTTTTTTTTTTTTTTTTTTTTACTCAAGATAGGGGGTAAAAGTGCAGTTTTGGGAAATAGAAGTGATGCAGTTAATTACGACTTTAACAATAATGATAATGTTTACACGAATTTTAATAATATTAATAGACCTATTGTTGCCAAGTATAGTGATGATCAGTGGCGTGGTGGCCGGGGTGGAGGGGGTATGTGCCCCCCCCCCCCCAGCGTAGAAAAAGCAGGGGGCGCCGAAGGTGTCTTAACTCTCCAAGAGGCGCCAAAAGCTGACTGAAAGCAAATATGTACAAAAAATCGCCCACAGTCCAAATGGTACAAATACATTTGTACCAAGAGCGCATTTCTCAAAGGGGCGCCCAAAAAGACCAGTGCCCCCTCAGCCAAATAGGAGCCACCACGCCACTGGTGATGATAATATATTGTGATTGTGACAAAAGTAATCATAACAATGAATATAAAAAATATAGCAACTGTAAATCTTAATTACGATACTTATTTTAGAAATGACGAATAAACAGAAAAAAATATAACAGATATGGAGAAGACGATAGTGATTCTGATATCAATACCAAAACTATTATTTTTACTGTCAATGACATTGTTATTTTCATTGTCGTTTCTTTTTATTGATGCCCTTATTTTGTTATTATTATTGTTGTTGTTGTTCTGTTGTTGTTATAGTTGTTATTGTTATTATTATTGTTATTATCATTATCATTATTAATGTCATTATTATTATTATTGTCATTATTATTATTATTATTATTATTATTATTATTATTATTATTATTATGTTATCATCATCATCATCTGAGAGAGACACAGAGAGAGAGAGAGAGAGAGGGAGCGAGAGAGGGGAGAGAAAGGGAGGGAGTGGGAGCGAGAGAGGGAGGGAGTGGGAGCGAGAGAGGGGGGAAGTGGAGAGAGAGAGAGAGGAAGTGGGAGAGAGAGGAGGGGGAGAGGGAGGGAGAGAGCGAGAGAAAGAGAGAGAGAGAGAGAGAGAGAGAGAGAGAGAGAGAGAGAGAGAGAGAGAGAGAGAGAGAGAGAGAGGGAGGGAGAGAGAGAGAGAGAGAGAGAGAGACAGAGACAGAGACAGAGAGAGGGAGAGGGAGAGGGAGCGAGAGAGGGAGGGAGTGGGAGCGAGAGAGAGAGGGGGGAGGAGGGGAGAGGGAGGGAGAGAGGGAGGGAGGGAGGGAGAGAGAGAGAGAGAGAGAGAGAGAGAGAGAGAGAGAGAGAGAGAGAGAGAGAGAGAGAGGGAGGGAGGGAGGGAGAGGGAGAGAGAGAGAGAGAGAGAGAGAGAGAGAGAGAGAGAGAGAGAGAGAGAGAGAGAGAGAGAGAGAGAGAGAGAGAGAGACAGAGAGGGAGAGAGGGAGAGGGAGAGAGAGCGAGAGAGGGAGGGAGTGGGAGCGAGAGAGAGGGGGGGGAGGGAGTGGGAGCGAGAGAGGGGGGAGAGGGGGAGAGGGAGAGAGAGAGGGGGGAGAGGGAGAGAGAGAGAGAGAGAGAGAGAGAGAGAGAGAGAGAGAGAGAGA